TTATAGGGGCAGGAGGTTAAATGGAGAAATGGAGACTTGGTGAAATACAATAATAGGAAACATTCACTGGTCTCCATTGCAACATTACAGTAATCTCAGTGATTTCAACAAGTTATTAAGTTTGAAAACTTGGAATAATATGACGTTATTTCAGGCAACATCCCTTTAATATGCACTTATGTGAGTAGTAGAGCAATGCGAAGAGACAAAGAACTCAGTGGCGTGCACAGACCTCCGGAGGGGCAGGGGAGTTGTGGCGTTACGAGGGCAGGACCGAAAGGGCACTTTAGCATCGGCGATTAAAGGGGCAGGGGTTTGAGGTTTTTGGGGTTTCTCAAACATAAAGGGAACATTCAATTTTAAAATGTATCAAACATAATGGGAACATTACTTTTCCCTGTTGAAAAAAACAGCATATGCTGGTTAGGTAGGTTTTGACGCTGGAATGCTGGTTCAAGCTGGTCCTTTGCTGGTTTAAGCTGGTCCTTTTAAGCTGGTCCTTTGCTGGTTTAAGCTGGTCCTTTGCTGGTTTATGCTGGTCATATGCTGGCAAAGGACCAGCAAAAGGACCAGCATAAACCAGCAAAGGACCAGCATAAACGAGCAAAGGACCAGCTTAAACCAGCGAAGGACCAGCATAAACCAGCAAAGGACCAGCATAAACGAGCAAAGGACCAGCTTAAACCAGCGAAGGACCAGCATAAACCAGCAAAGGACCAGCATAAACGAGCAAAGGACCAGCTTAAACCAGCGAAGGACCAGCATAAACCAGCAAAGGACCAGCATAAACGAGCAAAGGACCAGCTTAAACCAGCGAAGGACCAGCATAAACCAGCAAAGGACCAGCATAAACGAGCAAAGGACCAGCTTAAACCAGCGAAGGACCAGCATAAACCAGCAAAGGACCAGCATAAACGAGCAAAGGACCAGCTTAAACCAGCGAAGGACCAGCATAAACCAGCGTCAAACATACCTAACCAGCATATGCTGTTTTTTTCAACAGGGTTGAATGTTCTCTGAAAAAAAAGTAAGTAACATTTTAAAAACTTTAGATGAATGTCCAACTAAAACATTTTAGAAATAAAAAATTCCATGAACAATTTATAAATAGTGTTTTTGTGCTAATGTTTTGAGAAGATCAGTAAAGACAAAATAACTCTTCTATTAACATTACTGAAGAACTTTGACAGAACCTTGCCAGAATGTTAACCAAAGTTCAGAGAACATTCCTTGTTTGCTGGGCTTCCACAAAGACTATTTATCTCTTTGATAAATTATTATATTATAACCCATTATACAGTCCAAATTATGTTCTTTTCTCTGAACCTGTGGCGCTGCAAAGAACCGAGTTGAAGAACTTATACTTTTGAGAGTAGCTCATTTTCATTTTAACCTTAAAACTATTAGGTTTTTTTTCTGTGACTCAAATAAACATGCTCTTTCCCTTCTTTATGCAAGTGTGGTCTACCCATATAATGACATCCCTGAAAGAAAAAAAAAGAAAACAAAACATTTAATAGATTGCATGTGTTTGTTTGCCAGTGCACTGATTACACACTCCAGAAGAGATCGCGGTTGCAGTGCATTCATGTAACTTAAAGAAGGAAATAGATCTTGTGTGTTTGCGTTCTCTGGGCTTTATCAGAGGTGCTGGGTGAAGAGCGGTGGGTTGAGAGAGTAGGGGAGGAGGCAGGGCGGTCACATAAAAACTGCCTGGAGAACTGGATGCGGGATCAGACGGTGATGTTCTCCGTGCTCGACTATTCTTGGAGCTACAGAGATCCGCGTTCGCATTGGACTCAGTTGGTTTCTTCTACGTGATGCGGAACTAATGATCTAAACATTCGCTTCAGGGTTGGACTTTTGTTGTGTGAGGTGAAAACTCCTTTGAAAACCCTGTTTTACCGTCTTCTCATCCAGGAATACTGTGCGCATCTCTACCAATGGTAAGCTGGCGTGTCTTAGCCTATTTGAAGTCAGCATTCACGGTACTTTCATACGGTCATAGCAAGAAGTGATTTATGACCGTATCTGAGATATGCGCAATTATTTAGACCCAATGGCACGCGTTTTGGCCATTTTGTGCGTAAATGGAACTCTTTCACGTCCTGTATTCTCTGCAGGCGGCGCGACTAACTAGAACGCTCCCATTATATTCCACAAAGCTGTCTTCAAGTCTACAGACGCAATTATTATTATCAACAAAGCGGTGTGCACCGAAAACGGGAGCGCTCTGCTTTGTCGGGTAGCTAAAGAATTGTACTGGGGGTGTTGGGAATGTTACACAGGATTAAATATCTTTGCTTACCGGATAGCTTACGTGAAATGTTTTTGTGTGTGTGTGTGTGTGTGTGTGTGTGTGTGTGCAAGTTTAGAACCACCAACGCGCTCAGACACCTGACCGCGCGCTCACCGGGTGGATGCGGGCTTCCACATCTGCCCGTAATGTACCAGTATGACATTTCATTTAAGTTTAAATTATGTTTTAATGTGGTGGCTAAGTATAGTTGTACTTGCTGTATGTGGCCTAACCACGATGGTGGTATATTTTCTTTGGCTAGTATCAAGCAACGTATCAAGATTCACTTTTATATGAGTTTTTGGAATCTACACAATTCTGAGTGTTCCGAATCACTGGTTTCAAATCCAGTTCTAACGCAGCGTTTACGCATGGCAAATGTTAAGTTAGTATTAAAAACAATAGCTGTGTCCTTCATTTGATTGAATAAGTTAAAGAAAACTGGTCTCCAGTGTGCAACTCCAGTGCACACTTGACCTCCACGAACGTTTCGAAGACTCGTACTTTGTCTGAAATGAGAGTGATGGCACTCAGTCAAGCATAATAACACGTCTGAAAGGTTTTATGAGGTACATTATGACATAAAGAGACACAACCATGAGTCACTTGGCAGAGATGTTTATCTTTAGTTCAAGGAGGTGCAAAGCAAAAAAAAAAAAAAAAAAAAAAGG